GGTTCAGGAAAATCGGTCTGTGTTCTTTTACTTATCAACATTCTACAGTCTTTAATTTCTCTGTACAATTCTGGTCCATCAGTATCACCTGGATAGCTCTTTGCTAAGTCAGTAGAAATCCAAACCATGAATCTAAATCTAGTAAGCGAGAAAATCTTCCTGTTATTTCTGTAATCAAGCGATCATGATGCGATAGATTTCCTGTTCAGCAGTCAATCCAGCATCAGATTAATTTTTCACCTGGCATTCGTGTACGACGTATTTGTCTTCTTTCAATGGTCAATCCCCATGTTTCACAGTGATTCTTGCCCACTTTAAGCGCTTCTTGACAGTTTAAAGTGACTGAGGAAATTCTGTGTATTACAAAGTTGTATCGAGAAAGAACTAGTTCTAATTAAGAAAGGACTTGTATCGCTGAAGTTCATCGGAAAGAATTTATACCGGAAATTAACAAGCGAGCAGTTAGTAACAAATTTGTGTTAGAGAGTGGGACGGAAAAAAAAAGAAGATGGAAACGAGAAGTGGCAAATTAAACTACAGCTTAGCAGATTTGATGGCAGCAATACAAGAACAGCAAATGAAACAAGAAGAACGAGAAAAGAAACAAGAAGAGGTATTACAGCAGTTGTTGGAGGAAAAAGAAAAGAAACAAGAAAAACGAGAAAAGAAACAAGAAGAGGGATTACAGCTGTTGTTGGAGGAAAAAGAAAAGAAAGAAGAACGAGAAAAGAAACAAGAAGAGAGACTAAATCAGTGGTTGGAGGAGAAAGAAAAAACAAGAGGAGAGACTACAGCAGTGGTTGGAGGAGAAAGAAAATAAACAAGAAGAGAGACTACAGTAGTGGTTGGAGGAGAAAGAAAATAAACAAGAAGAGAGACTACAGCAGTGGTTGGAGGAGAAAGAAAATAAACAAGAAGAGAGACTACAGCAGTGGCAAGAAAACCAGCACCAGCAGCAACTGGAACAAGAAAGGAAACAAGAAGAACGAGAAAAGAAACATGAAGAAAGTCTCCAACAGTTGAGAGAAAGCCAGCATATACAAATGGAAATGCTTAGTAAATTTTAAAGTGCATTAAATACATTAAAGGACGATTTGCTGTCTTTTACACAGGGAGGATATATTAACCATGGACCTAATCAGCCACAGACAACAGAAAGCCCCTTCCACACCCTGCAGCTAAACCCTAATACAGGCATCTTCAGTCCTGCCAGAAGTCACATTCCAGACATGAGTGTCAGCAAATAGGGGTGATCTAGTACGAAGGAAGCCACAGGAATTCGATGGGAAGGTACCATGGGAAGCATATAGAGTTCAATTTAAGCTACTGGCGGAAATGAATGGATGGACAGAGCAGCAGAAAGCAGTGTACCTGGCAACGAGCTTGAAGGGACAACCACTGGAAATACTTGGCCATTGTCAGCAGACGACAGGCACAACTATAGATCACTGGTAGCTGCTCTAGAAATCAGATATGGAACTCAAAATCAAAAACATTGAAAAGATGTCTGTGTAATGTAAACCATCTCTCTCTCAAATATAGAACGACTGGAACTACCCCAAGTGCAGTAGCATCCTACGAATAATAAGCATCGAGGGATAGTGGAAGGGGAAGAACTGTAGTAATCTGCAAGTACCTCCACCATGATCCACAACATGGATGGAGTAACAAGAGTATAAATGACTAAGGAATAGAGACATCTGTGATACATATGTGATCACTTATGTTGATTGGTTCAGCTCTAAGTCCAAAACCACGCCACAGGGAATTAACATCCACATGGGGGTAGGATGAGGAATCCAAATGAAGGAGTGAACTGCAATTTTGATGGCTCACTCCCTTGTTACATAGTGGAGGATATCTCATTATCTACACCAGCAGAACATCACCACCCTACTCTCAACTGAATTATTTTATAATCATTTATATATATTACTGGTATTTCCTTAACACATTCAGGAGGATGCCTCCACAGTCCACCATCCCAGCAACTTGGAACTGGAAAGTGGTTAAGACTCAAATTGTACTAGAAGAAAGCATGGAGGAACACCACCACCTAAGACAGTGCAATGGGTGACCACAAAATCCTATTTTTAAAAGCAGACCATACCGATTTATTCAATACAAGGCATGGCACGGGTGGGCAGCTTTCTGCTTTACCCATGTAGTCCTTGGGTGTGTATAGACTGGGATGGGGAAATGCATGAAACAAACCTATCACGAGGATAAACCTATAAGCAATCTTATGGAACACCCAATCTCCGCAGTGTGCTTTGCATGGCCATGGATTCATAATATGTAAATCGATATGGTCTTACAGTGCAGAATTGAACAGTTAAAGAATACCTGATCAGGCACACTAGCCACAGAGTGGGATCCAGAAAGAAAAAGAGGGGCATGTCCCTGAAAACGAAGAGGTATTAATACTAAAAGATACTTAACTGGTCAGTCTCATGAAAGAGTGATGGATGGCAACAGGTGGATGACAGTACCCTGACAAAGAAAAAACAGCTACCCAAAGCAGAGAATGGAAGATGTAGACCCAGTGTTCAACATATGAAGTACCTCCAACAAATGACAGGGTAGACATGCAGGGAAAAAGGATGGAGCATGATTGCAGGAAGACACTAGGAAGTG